CAGTTCATCACAAAAAAATACAACTCAGACACAACCAAATGGAATAAATGCATAGGGCAAAGTATGGGTGGGAGGGCACGGATCTTCCAAAGCCTTCTGAGTGTGTCACCCTCCAAACACCAAGGCAGAAAGAGGGAGAACTTCTCCATTTGGGGGTTTTATGGAGGTTTCATCAGTAAGGCATGATTAATTAAATCTCTAAATCCCTTCTCCCTCTACCATCCTCAGAGGCTGGAGGTTGAGGCTGAAAGTTCCAAGCCTCTAATCAAGGCTTTGTATTTCTTAGGACCAAACCCCCATTCTGAAGCTATCTAGGGACCCACCAAACATCTCATTAGTGCATCAATATGACTTTACCAATTGTTAACAAATATATTACAGTAATACAAGATATATAAAAAATAGGACAAACTGTGGAGACACAGGGTTGATACAAGAAAACTCTGTACTTACTGATCAAATTCTCTGTAAAGCTAAAACTATTCTAAATAAAGATAAAGTTTATTAGGGGAAAAAACCAATGATGAAGATAGACTCAAAACAATTCACCCCTGAAGAATAATCATCAAAACATATCATCTTTCATTCCATTAATCTGACCTTTCTTTAGTAAACCATTATGGTACTCTATGAGGTCTGCAGGCTGAGAATGGGAAGGGAGGAGAAAGTTCCTTCCAATGACTTATTTAGGAGCCCAGCACTGGATATTATGAGAAGTGAAATGAGAGTTCTGGTTACCATCAGTACTACCTGAAACTCAAACATGGATAAGGAGTATCCTTGCACTGTTGGCCTAGGATATGTAGAGACATGACTTACCCTGATTTATATGTTGGGTATTTGTGATGAAAGACAAATCCAGAGATTTTATACCATGAATGAGAAACTCTAACACAATCACCCCTAAACGTGCAGATGGGGCCAATTTGTAGCCAGTGCTAAGATGACTGCCTTATGTGTGGTCATCGTGCTGACCCTTGGATCTGTTTCTTTATCAGGAACATCCCAAATAAGGAATGAAAAGCAGAAACTCACTACCGAGCTCCATCCAGTATACATGGGGCGATGTCATCCATGAAGTCTACAAACTCCCCACTGCAGCTCACTCAGTTCATCTGATGATGCTTTTCGATCCTCCGAGGTCCTGTTTAATTTACACTGGGCCATATTAACTAATTTAACTGGAGATAAAGGCTCAGGAGATTCCATTTTATCAAGCCACTGTGCAAGTGCCAAAGATTTAATTCAAATTTATACAGCATATTTTTATTTTGTTCCCTTACTCCCCCACTTGCATGCTTTGTTTTTTGGTCTAGGATACAATTCAGGGAGGAGAAAAAGACCTGTCTTGTCTACCCTAGTATTTATACATTTTACCCCCCAACGAGCCTTACATTAGCATCACCACAATTAGGAGCTTCCTCCATGGCAATTGTTGCTTTATAAGGTTGAAGAACTCTAGATTTATGTCATTTTTGAAATAATCCCTTTGCTGTGACACAGGGGTGCCTGGGTGTATACCCTAAAACCCTGAGAGTCAGGATCTCTATGGCGACAGAGGCACAAGCAGTGGCAGCAGCAGATGCACTTAAGGGTCCTGGTGAGCCCTGTGCTCTTAGGACTGTGCACTCAGACTTCTATCTAACAGCTTCCTTCCACCTTTTTTCAAAATGACTGTTCTTTCACATACAATCTTTCCCTGCAGAACCTGTAGATCAGGCCCAAGCCCAGCAGTAGTCACAGCTTTATTCTAAAATACAGGGTTTCAGACCAAGACACATTACCCTGACCACTTTAAGGAGATCCTCAATCCCATACTTCTCTTTCTAAATCCCAAGAAATGATGGCATGGCACACACAGGCTGAGAGGGTATAAAAGGCTTATTACTGATATAATTAAAGACTGGGGTCCGGGGAATGAGCTGGGCATGTGGGAAATGGCTTGAGAGAACAAGGAACCCTGGGTTTTTACTGTGTTTGGGGCTGGGGTTCTGCTACAGTTCCTTGGGCAGCACCAGAGGATGGAGCCCCAGGCTTTCTCCAAAGCTGGTCCAGGTGTGAGAACAAGGGGAAGAAGGAAGGGAGAGACTTCAGCTCTCAGCAGTCAAACATCAAATGTAGAGTCTGACTACTCATTACAATAAGTAAGGCATGAAGGAAAAGTATACATTACTTGCTCTGATATAAACAGTGACAAAATGCCCCCAAAATTCTCAAAAGTGGTTATGTGGGAGTGGCTGGAGCAAGAGCTCTGGAGTGAACCAGGATGTGCTGGCAGGGAGTGTTCTCAAGTCAGTCGTTGCTGTCTGGCAGAGTTTTTAAAACTTTCCCTTGCATTGTTTATTTTAAATTAACAGATATGTATATACACAATGTTTTACTGTTTAATAGCCATTACTTTGAACTATTTCTGCTGTTTACAATTTAATTTAATTAGTTTCTTTTAATTTTTCTGCATAGGTAATCATTATAAAATGTCATCCCTTCCACTGAAGGATGAATAATGTTTGAAGCAGAAAAAAACTTATTAAAAACTTAACCTTTGAAGGGCCGGCCCGTGGCTCACTCGGGAGAGTGTGGTGCTGATAACACCAAGGCCACGGGTTCGGATCCTATATAGGGATGGCCGGTTGGCTCACTGGCTGAGCATGGTGCTGACAACACCAAGTCAAGGGTAAAGATCCCCTTACCGGTCATCTTTTTTTTTAAAAAACTTAACCTTTGAAATATCTTCCTAACTAAATATCAAGTGGGATCATACCTTGTTCTTCCACTTCTTCTCACACTGTGGGATGTGTTTAGGCTTGCATAGCATATTAATATGAACTTGGGGTTTCCTCTTCATTTATTAAATGTATTAAGGTTTTTGCAAATTTTCATTAGCTTTTAGTATTTCTCCACAGAATAATTAAAATACTTAGGAATGGTAAAACCTTTAATTTTCAAATTCTCTATAGAATGCACACGCATAAACTCAGCTAAACAGAAAAAATGCGCCGGAGAACTTAAATAACCCATCTCATATCTTGATTTTTTTTCCTAAAAAAAATTGTTTGGTTCCAGAATTCTTACCTACTCACATCATCTCTCTCAATAAAGACATATTTTCACCCAGAACATCTTACATATACAGAAAAGGAAAAAAAAAATTACTAAGTGTTTAGGAAAACTAGGTTAGAGGGCACCAATAGTCAAATAAGAAATCAAAAGAAACGCAAATATTTGAATCTCCCCCAGCAAGCACCCCGCTTCATCACAGTTCATAAAAAATAGCCACGTTCTGAGGTTAAACACATACCCAAGCTTGGAGTCCAGATTGTCATCCTTGAAACATAACCCCTAAAGTGGTCAGTTTGTGGTGATGGAGGGGAGGGGACCTCAGCAGCTACAGGAATGTACCTGGGAGCTCTACACACCCTCCTCGGCCTTCAGTCAGTGGCCACAAGCATCTGCCCCCCAGTAAGTGCCTTTGGACCACCACTGATATTTTAAATAACACAAACCAGTTTTTGAATAATACAGCAAAATCACTCAAGCCCAACCCTCATAAAAATTGTAGAACAATTTTCTCATAGTCTAACGCAACAAGAAAACCCAAAAGTGTCTGTTTCTTTCAGAAAATGAAGATTCAGGGCCGGCCTGGTGGCGCACTCAGTAGAGTGCGGCGCTCCCACCAAGGGTTCGGATCCCACATAGAGACCGGTCCGCTCACTGGTTGAGCATGGTGCGGGCGTGACACCGTGGGTTGCGATTCCGTTGCCGGTCACGGTACGGGCACGACACTGAGGGTTGCGATCCCGTTACCGGTCACAAAAAAAGACAAAAAGGAAAAAAAAAAAAATGAAGATTCAGCTAATTATTATATCTGTGTCAAAAACAAATTCACCAGATTTGAAAACTTGGAGGTTTGGCAGGTCGAAGTGCTGTTTATCCATTTGAAATAATGCAAAACAAAACAACAGACTAGAGAAACGTACTAGATATGCTCAAGAGGAGCAGAAATATAAAAAAGACAACAAATGGAAGGTATACGTGGACTTTTTTTTTTTTCTTTCTGAAATTCATATCTTGCCTCTTTGGAAATATTTTCTACTATCTTTCAAGCTCTATTAACTTCCACTTATTAAAAAACTGAGGCTCAACTACGTGAGTAAATCGTTTCAAGGTGACAAACCCAGGGAGGGAGGGGCAGTGCTGACCAGAAACTGTGCTGAAAGGACAGATCACCCAGGAAAGGTTCCAAAGAGAAACCCACAACCCAAAGGAGTTCCCACAGAATGTCTGTGCCCAAGAAAGACACTCAGAGAAGAAGCACAATCATTTTAGACAAAATAGATCCAGGTGGTTATTCTCTGCTTCTCTCTCCTGTAAAATATCCCCCCCCCCACACACACACACTCATATGTTGAAATTCTAAGTCTCAGTAGGATGGTGTTAAGATGTGGGCCTTTGGGAGATAATTAGGTCCTGAGGGTGGAGACTTTATACATGGGATTAGTGCCTTATTAAAAGGACCCTTGAGAGCTCTTTTGTCCTCTTTCCGCCATGTGAAGATAAGTCAGCACTCTGCCACCCGTAAAAGGGCCTTATAAGAACCCGACCATGTTGGCACCCTGATCTCAGACATTCAGCCTCCAGAGCTGTCAGAAATAGCCTTCTGTTGTTCATAAGCCACCCAGCCTATGATACTTTGTTGTAGCATCCCAAACTGACTAAAACAATGATGAACCACACTATCGTATGTGTTAGAACGTTTTTGATTACAAGGACAGAGAAGCAAATGATCTTAATCAAAATAGATAATTAATCGACTGGCATAACCAAACCATGATAAAGAAAGGGATTTCAGGGGACCGAGGACCGCGCGGCGCCGGCGGCGGACTCGGGGCCGCAGACTCCGGGGCTGAGCGCGGGGAGGCCCGGGTCCCGCGGCCACGGCCGGCTCCGGCCGGTTCCAACCGGCCCCGCTCCCCGCCTCGGGACGCCCGCCCGACACTCACCATTTCCCGGCTTCCGGGTGTCCCCGCGTTCTCCTTACGGCTCCCCCGGGCAGAGCAGCGCACGGGGACATAAATGCTGAAGCAGAACCACCGGACACGTCACAAGTCAGCGAGACGAGCTGAGGCACCGGAATAAATAGCGTCATCCACGCACCTTCCTGGTGTTATTCCCCACCCCTTCCGGCTTCGTTTGATTGGACAATTCCTATCATCCCACCCCCTTGAGCCTGAGTGACAGATTGCCAGAAATCAGTTATCTGAGCGTCCACCACCCACTCCTCCCCACCTCGTTCCACTGTCCTTGTTCCCAGGCCGGAATGGACGGGGGTGCAGGGAATTCAAAGTTCAGTTTCCACGTGGAGCGACCCCCTTGTGCAGAGGAAGAGGGACCCCAGGCCAGGCCAGACTGGAACAGGAGGATCGCCTGTTCTCCAGGCATCAGGGGCTTGGCACGAGGCTGGGAGGCCACTCATGGAACTGTGGTCACACATACTTAAAAGCAATGTCACCATATGTAATAAACAGTCAACCTCCGTTTTGATCTTTGACCTTTGGGGCTTCCACCCACCCCTGCCTCACCTCCGCACATGTGGCACTTTGGTTCTGGGGAAGGTTGAAATCCACAGTCCTAGCCTTGGCTCAGAAAGCTTCTCAGACCAAGTACCACCTATAAGAGGTGTTCGATAAAATTGTCAGGTGTACATTTTACACTAGAAGTGTATTTATTTCAGATCAGTCTTTGTGTCCTTTGAGAACTTTGAAATGTGGAAGGTTATGATATCTCTAAGGCAACTGAATTTTCTATTATCATTCATATATATAAGAAAACCAATAACAGGTTATATAAATTTGGAATGAGCCAGGAAACTCTTAGCACTGTCAAATTGGATCAAAACTCCTAATACATTCAATTATTCTGTTAAAAAAATATATATATAAAAGGCCGTTGTTTTGGACTAAATTCCTGTAGTAGGCTCCAAAATGCCACACTTAAAAATCAAAATGGAGTCACTGACATTGTGGTCTGACCTTCTCAAAAGTCAGGAGAAGGGCTGGCCCGTGGCTCACTTGGGAGAGCGTGGTGCTGACAACACCAAGCCAAGGGGTAAGATCCTCTTACCGGCCATCTTTAAAAAAAAAAAAGGGTCAGGAGAGAGAACAGGCAATTTCCCGGAACAAGCCAGTTCAAGTCTTCAACAGGTATGATAATAAAGTTCCCTCTGCTGTAATCCTTACACTGAAGAGATAGCCTGAAGTAACCTGAAGTTAACTAATCAGTTATTTTCCTATTGTTCTGTCTCCCTGTTCCAGCCTTACAAGAAAAGTAACTTTAAAATGATCAGTCTGCTTTTTGTTTTCAGTTTCTGCTTTCTTCAGCCTTTTTCTGTCTAGGATGCCTTTATTATGTGTAATAAACCTTGGAGCACTTTCTGGCTCTGTCAGATGGTGTTTCTTGGGTTGATTTTCCCAGTGAACTTTATACAATTATTTCTGCCTAGAGAACCTTAATTTCAGACCACAATTTGAACCGGTTTATTAAGATATGCACATACTATACAATGCACTACTTTTTTTTTTTGGCTGAATGCCAGTACAGGGATGGAACCCTGGACCCTGGTGTTATTAGCACCAAATTCTAACAGAGTTAACTGATTAGCCCTAATCCATCCATTTGAAGTGTACAATCCCAACATTTTTAGTATATTCACAGATATGAGGGTACTTCAAAAAGTTCATGGAAAGATTTGTATTATCTTTAAATTCTACTTTTCCACGAACTTTTCGAAGTACCCTCGTACATGCCATTATCACCACAACTTTTATCACCTCAAAAAGAAACTTCTGTGTAAAGGGTACTAACATTAATAAAGTGCATGTATTTCACAGGGCCTTAACCTTTAGCCTAGTAGGGCTACAGCCCTTAGATTAGAAGGACCACAGTCCTTCGATTAGACTGTAGCTTATTAGGATCTTTATCTTAGTAGGACCACAGTCCTTAGCTGTTAGAAGAGCCAAAGCCCTTTAGTTTAGGCTGTAGCATAGTAGGACCACAGTCTTTAGTTTTAGCAAAGTCAAAGCCTTGAAGTTTGAGGAATAACCTAACCTTTTAGAATTGCACATAGAAATGCTAAGCTTGGGAAAAAAAAACAGCAAACTTTCACAGGACTAAAAAGTCTCTGGTTTGGATATGAGAATTGTAACACAGCATAAGTGCTTGTTCTAAGGGAAGATGGCCTTGGTGCAGCTAAACCTAACTATGGGAAAATATGTGTATTGAAAGCTTCAAGGCTACTCTGGCAATTAGTGGCTGGTTCCACATTTCACCTTCAACTGCTTCTCTAAGTTTCCTAGGGAACTAAGGGTTGCCATAATGATTATCTCATGGGTTCTTTTGTATGTCACATAGCTTAGTTTTATGACTTTGATGGGAATTGCTTAAACTATTTTTAAGTTGAGGGTTGCCATAATGATTATCTCATGGGTTCTTTTGTATGTCACATAGCTTAGTTTTATGACTCCTTTGATGGGAATTGCTTAAACTATTTTTAAGTTGCACCTGCTTTAATGAAAATTATGTAGCCAGTTTGTTTATGTTTTCACTATGACTGATTAACCACCTGTGTTCTTTTCTGTAACTTTCTTGGCTGGACAATAGAAAACCGAGAGAAAACCTAGTTTGAGTTTATTTCCTGGGAATGCTTCTTGCTTGAAGTCATTCCTTGGATTTAACCCCTTCTGAGCCTCTCACTGCTCTGGAGAAATGGGCTTTGAGTAATCCTTTGCGTCTCCGTCTCCGTCACCCCGAGGTAGACGTGACACTTCTATACTCTTTATCTACCACTCCCCTAAGTGAGCATAGAATCAAGGTTATGATTAACTCGACATGAACACAATTGTGTCCGTCCACAATGTCAACCTTTATTGAATCACACACACTCAATTCAGCTATGAGCTATGCAGAGTTCACCTGGAGCTATTTCCAGAATATCTGCTTCATTTAGAAGCCTAACATGGCATACAAAGATCTCAACAAATAGGAATCAAAAACATTAACACTTCAAACGAGGGAAAATCAAGTGAGAATAAGAAAGGACATCAGAAGGTGCAAACTCAGTCATTCAAGGCGAAGCAGCGGTCTACGGCAAGGGGTTAACGAACCAGTTCCGGTCCCTGGTCTTGCTCAGCTGGAGGTCTGGACAGTCCACATCTTGCAAGGCAGGGTCTTCGGAGAAGCCTACTTACGTTCAAGGACTATGCTGCATGAATCAGTGCAGAAGAGCGATGACGGTCTGTGAGTCCAAACAAGAGCTGACCATGTGTTAAAGCAGAAGCAATTTCTTTATATACATGCAGTTTGTAGCTTATCTTTATGTTACCAAGACCCCAAAGGTCCATTTGCTCGCCACTCAATAGCCAATAACTGAAAGACAAGAGTTGGTGTAAGGAAAGGTGGCCTTTAATCAGGAAGCCAGCAGCCTGGGGAAATGGTGGACTCGTGTCTCAGAGACCATCTCCACTTTTCCCAGACTTGCCAAAGGCTTTTACAGGGACAGGTGGTAGGGGGCTGATTCATGGTGATCTAAGCAGGGACGTGCAGGCATTATCATAAAATTGCAGATAAACATCCAAAGAACCTCTCGGGTGGGAGCTGATTCATGGTGACCATCCTCCATGAAGTCAAGCCATGGATTCAGTTCCTGTTAATCTCAAAAAGATCTAGTTAGCAAGCTAGTAAAGAATGGCCCCCTGGGTTAATAATTTCTTCTATAATTATTCTGTGTACAGTGTGAGCAAGAGTCATGTTCTAGCAGTCATGTGAACAGAAATCATTGTGTTCTTTTTTTTTTTTCTTTTTGTCTTTTTTACTGACCGGCAACGGGATCGCAACCCTCGGTGTCGCACCCGCACCGCGCTCAGCCAGTGAGCAGGAACCGGTCTCCACATGGGATCCGAACCCTCAGCGGGAGCGCCACCGCACTCCCAAGCGGCGCACTCTCCAGTGTGCCAGCGGGCCGGCCGGAAATCATTGTGTTCTAATGTCCAGCTGCAAGCTATGTGGTTCGGGTTACAAGAGTAAGAAAAAAACCCCTTTAAATTTAGAAGTTTAATGAAATAGAGTCACTTCTGTTCAGGCTGTTACATTTATGCCAGAAGTTGTTAGTTTCATGGATTTGCACAGGCAAGCAGGCCTGTTCAGTGACTCCTCACTTGCAGTTTCACATAAACACTTTTAACTTAAAAACATCAAAATCAAGTTGCAAACTTGTAAAAAACAAAATGGAGTTACTTAGGCTACATTGGTCTTGCCCTATCCCCCCCCCCCATTCTCCCACCTTCATCCCCCAAACTCTGGCCCTCGGTAAGCAGTAACCTACTTTCTGTCTCTACAGATTTCCCTATTCTAGACTTTCATATTTATGGAATCATTTCACATGTGGTATTTGTGACTGGATTCTTTAACTTAGTATAGGTTTTACAAAAGACATGCATGTTGTAGCATTGTCAAGCTAAAAAAAAAAAATTTCAGGGAAAAATATCCCCTAACATGATACGTTTATTCAGGAGTTTGCAAAAAGGATTGTAATCAGAGATGCACACTGTGTCAAGCCACAGATGTGCCAGAAGAGGGAGAGCAAGGGGAAGTCTTTATTTGGCAAAAAGGAGATCATATAAGCTGCTTGGAAGTGAATTTCATTGATTCTGGAGGTTCAAAGCTGGATTTGGAGCTGGCATCGTTCACTGGTGGAGATGCCAGTACTGTCAAGTACTCTTTCATGAGCATCTTATCTGAATTGCTGCAGCCTTGAAGGTGTGTCTTGTGCAGTTATTTTAGAAAGTTCTTGAGACAGTCTTTATCCTCAGACATGGAAGGATGGATTCTCCTTCTTCCTCCTTCTCAGCTTAGGTTTTTTATTTGTTTGTTTGTTTTAGGGGTCTGACAAGGGTGATTTCATCCTGGTATCTCCAATTTTCACCTTCCCCCTTCTGATCAATATCTTTCTCCAAAAGCATGGCTGATCAATCAGGCAGGTTTTAAGTGTCTCTCAGCATTGGGATGC